ATCCCTTGGGCTGAGTCCTCCACAGAAATTCATGCCCTTTAATTCTGGACATTTTTCTTGAATTATTTCATTGATGATTTCCTTCCTCCTCCTTTTTTTTTTTTTTCTTCTCTTCTCTCTCTCTCTTTATAAAATTCCTATCATTCAGATTTTGGATGTCCTGTCTTGGCCCACTAACATTCTTGTTTTCTTTTTGGCGTATCTGTTTTGCTCTACTGTCTGGAAAATGCTCTCAAGTTTATCTTCCTACCAATCTATTAATTTTTTACAACACTTCTGCTATCGTATTTTAAATTTCGAACAACTTTTTCTGTGCTTGAAATAATGATTTTGTTCCTGTTTCAATCATAGGATATTTTTTTATTTGGGGTAAGGGAACTAAAAATGTATTTGAAAGCCCTGAGTAAGTGAATGGGGCTTGTTGGCTCTGAACTTCATTATAAGGTGATCTGGCGAGGCCATTTGTTGGTGAACTCCTGACATTAGGTCTCTGTTCTTGGGATGGTCAGATTGGAAGGAAGATTCTTCCGATCTGCAGTGTGGAAAATCAAGGCTTGGCTGCCATCATTCTCAGAGCTCAGTGGGGAAAGAAGGCTGGTGGTCATTTGTTTACTTAGCCCTGCCTCTTTCTGCCTTCCTCCCCATTTATCGGGGTGTTCATGCCCTCAACTGTACTTGGTATTCTCTAGCCTAGAGATCTTATGTTTCTCTCTTTCCAGAAAGTAAACCTTTATTCTTTGTCTTCGTCAGTTCAGGCTCCTATAACAAATTACCATAGGCTGGGTGGCTTAAACAACAAGCATTCATTTCTCACAGTTCAGGAGGCTGGGAAATCCAAGATCAAGGTGCCAGCAGATCCAGTGTCTGGTGAGGGCCCCCCTTTTGGTTTGCATGCAGCCATCCTCTCATTGAATCTCACATGGCAGAGAGCAAGTTTCTTCCTATAAGGGCACTAATCCTGCTCATAAGGGCTTCACCCTCATGACCTAATTACCTCACAAAGGTCCCACTTCTTAATGCCCTCATATTGGCAGCTGGGATTTCAACATATGAATTTTAGGGGGAAATATTCAGTCCGTAACAATTTTCATCTGGGGTATGGGAGAATTAGTCAGCCATAGGTGTGGAGTGAGGGAGGAGATTCAGGATTCCACCGGCTTTTAAATAATCTTTACCCATTTGTTATCATAGACTGCCTCACTACCTACAATCTAGAGATAGTTAGTGTTGCCAATTCCTGATCCTTTTTAGAATTCTGCCAGTAGATTAGGTTGGGTTTCAGCTCTCCCCAACGCTACCAACAATTTGGTTTCCTTGGGTCTCTTAAATCATCCACGTTATTTCTAGCCTCCAAAATTGTGTAGTTATTAGCTCCTCTCCCATTTCTCAATTCAAGTATGTTTGTATCTTTAAAAAAAAATAACAAAACTTTATTATAGTTTTAGCAGTGTTTCAAATGTGTGTTTAATCTTTGTTCAGAGGTTTAGAATGCTTCTTTGTATGTGTTGTATTTGTAGGTTCTGCATTTGCAATTAAGGTTTCTGGAGTGCTTGGACCAGATGCCTTTGCAAGTAATCAGTATCCTTTCTCTATGACCAACAAAAACAGACCTAGAGACCACCTCCTAGACACACACAGACTGCATCACGTTCTTATATAGCTCAGAATCTTCCCGCCCATGGAGCAGGTAACAAGGCTCCATTCTGCAAAGTGCTGAATTTGACTGCTACACACAGCTCCATCCTTATACCTTACAGCCATCTGGATCCCTATATTCAACAAAATAAACCTACGGAGGCAATGACTTACAGATTGGTGCCACAGTGATTTAAAAGGCTGGTTCGAGAAATACTTATGGCATTCATCTGGAAAGAATAAAGAGACTAATATGATGGTACGTGAAAACATATAAGACTCGGGAATAGATCCAAGAGAGCAAATGAACTAATAGTGGGAATTCTACTTGAAGAGATTATAATGAGTTACAGAAAGACGTTGCTAAACTGAAGAAAGACTGAGTCTTCCTAACAAAAGAGCCTAGTAAACTACCACGAAAGCATGGCAGATGCCCAATAAATCTTCGTATAATGAACTAATAAATGATAAAAACGAGACCTACAGCTAGACATACCAAGTAGACTCAAAGTTTCAAGCATAAATAAATAATCTTATTTGACCCAGTCTGAAACAAAATGGGTTACTTACAAAATGAAAAACAGTAACATCAGACTTCTTTTTTGGGTAACACTAAATATTAGAAAGGTGACAGAGCATCATTTCAGATTAGCAAGTTAAAAATATTATGAGTCAATAATTCTATGCCCTATTAAAGTCTTGTTCATAAGACAGGGTAACAGAAAGATACTTTTATATATTCAAGGGCTCAAAAACTAAACAACTTATATATCTTCTCTTAAAAAAACCCAAATAAATTCAAAGACGTACTCCAGGTGACTGAGAAATGACTCAAAATAAAGAATGCAAGCATATGGAAGATGTGATATGATAAAAATATATAACCTTAAGTCCAGAAAACACAAGTTAATGTTTAAATACTTCGTTTCCATGCTAATAAAACAGTAAAGATATTCAAAATAATTCCTGAAGGAGAAGACATAATGTATAAAATCAATTATTAGGTTGAATCTAAAGGCTTTATTTTTTAAAAAGCTGGTGTGTGGGAAGGTGTGGAAGAAGGAATTAGAATATCTTAAATCTCTCATAATATGGAGGTGCAATAATAACAATAATATCTACTATTTATTGCACTATAAAGCAATACACTAAGTGCTTTATATTTAGCTGCCTTATTCCGCCCACTATGAATTAGGGATTGTCTGAGTTGTTCATCATTAAATCTCCAGAGCCTAAGTCCATTTCCTGGCTCATGTTTGGCACTCAGCTAATATTTGTGCAACATTGAATAAACAAGCCTATTAAGTAACCAAGGTTTAAAGATGCCCCGTGACCTGGCTAAGCTGGCACAGTAGGAGGTAGAGGCAGGTTTCCAGTCAGGCCTGTTTGCCTCCAAAATGCATAGTCACACTGTTTTCCCCAAAGTATAATGTTTTGTTTTTTAATATGGATAGAAAAATAAAAGTTCACACATTTACAATTTTATTTCAAAAGTAACCACTGGTAGACTAAAAATAGGATCTGTAACTTCCAAATCAATAGGGGGAAAAGTGGAACAAAGAAAACCTGAGTAAAGAAAAAAATAAAATAAAAAGAAACCACAAAGAAGCACAGAAATAGGAAGCCTAATAGAAAAATGGGCAAAGAGCATGACCAAACAATTCACAGAAATAAAAATACAAAATCTTAATAAAAACTGAAGAACTGAGTGAAAATTAGCATGGTGAAATGGACATACATATATGCTATTTGTTGGAGTATAGGATTGCTCTAGCCTTTTTTAGAGATATTTTGGGCAATATCTGTTAAAATGCAGAAAGTTCCAATCCTTTTACCAGTTTCCAGGGCTTAACATATTTTTTTAATTGTAAAAATGTTCAAACATACACAAAAGAGTGAGAATAACATTAATGGACCTTAATACACCCATAATCCAGATTCAATAATTATCAAGATTTTGCCACCCTGGCTTAATCTATCCCTGCTTCCTTTCCCTCCCTGTCCCCCTTCGTCTCCTTCTTCTTTGCTGTTTAAGTGCTCTGAAGCATACCCTGGACTTCGTATCACTTTGACTAAAAAAGTCATCATTTTTTTATATAACCATATGCCACTATTACACCTAAAAAATTAACAACAGATCATCTAATACATCATAATTGACATCACCTAATACCTAGTCCATATTGAAATGTCCTCAGTTACCTAAAAAAATGCATTTTTACATTGGTGTGTTTGAATCAGAATCCAAACAAGAAAGATCCATACTTTTATTGAGTTGTCATGTCTTTTTAATATAAAGCCATCCCTCCCACCTTTTCTTCATGTCATTTACTCAAAGAAACTGATCGATGTTCTGCAGAAAGTCTCTCATTCTGGATTTTCCTGCTTTCTTACTTTATTCTTCAATTTTATTGACCTGTTTACTATTGAGTTGTAAGTACTGTTAACTTTTAAAAAATTTTTATTTAGAAACAATTTCAGATCTTTAAAAAGTTGCAAAAATAGTATTAAGAACGGCATACCTTTAGCTCAGATTTCCTAAATGTTAACCTTCTACCATGCTTGCTTTATTCATTCTATTTTTGTCCTGAAACATTTGAGAGTAAGTTGCAGACGAGATGCCCTTTACCTCTAAATACTCTGGTATATTTTCAAAAGAAGGACATTCTCTTACATAACAATAGTTTGATGGTCAAAATCAGGAAATAATACAATATTATTCAAATTTCACCAAGTTTTCTTCTAAAGTCCTTTATCAGGTTTAGGCTTTTAAATCTATTTTAACATATCTCTTACCTTTCAGGCATTAGTACCCTTAAAAAAAGTTACTGCTATTGGCTACTGCAGTAGTTTCCAAGCTAGTTTGCACATTAGAACCACCTGCAGAACTTTAAAAATTCCTAGAGAAAATTCTTGAGAAGAAAGAATAAAGCTGAAGTCATCATTCTCCCTGATTTCAAACCATATTACAAAGCTATGGTAATTAAAACAGTATTGGCATTGGGATAAAATGAATGAACAGATCAATGAACATAGATCAACGAACAGAATAGTGAGCCCAGAAATAAACCCACTCACTTGGTTAATTAATTTATGACAAAGTAGCCAAAAAATACACAACAGGGAGAGGACAATTTCTTTTTTTTCTTTTCTTTTTTTTTCTTCACGACAGTCTCTTCAATAAATGATGCTAGGAAAATTGGACATCCATACACAAAAGAGTGAAACTGAACCATTCACTTACATTAGGGACAAAAAAATAACTCAAAATGGTTTAAAGATTTGAATGTAAGACCCCAAACCAAGAAACTCCTGGAAGAAAACATAGGCAGTAAGCTCCTTGACATTGGTCTTGGTGATGGTTGTTTGAATCTGACACCAAGAGCAAAAGTAACAAAAGTAAAAATAAACAAGGAGACTATATCAGACTAAAAAGCTTCTATACAGCAAAGGAAACCATCAACAAACCGAAAAGGCAACCTACTGAATGGGAGAAAATAATTTTAAAGCATGTATCTGATAAGGGGCTAATATCAAAACAAACAATATCATACAACTCAAAAGCAAAAAACAAACACTCCAATTAAAAAAGGGACAGAAGATCTGAATAGACATTTTTCCTAAAGACATATAGATGGACACAGACACATGAAAAGATGCTCTACATCACTAATCATCAGGGAAATGCAAACCCAAACCACAGTGACACATCACCTCATACCTGTCAGAACTGCTATTATTAAAAAGATAAGAAACAACAAGTGTTGGTGAAGATGCAGAGAACAGGGAACACTTGTGCACTGCTGGTGGGAATGTAAACTGGTGCAACCACTACAGAAAACAATACAGAGGGTCCTCAAAAGATTAAAAATAAAACTGAAAAGATATACACACCCCCATGTTCACTGCAGCATCATTTACAATAAGTCAAGATATAAAAACAACCTAAGTATCCAAGGATAGATGAATGGAAATAAAAATTGTGGTGTATACATATACAATGGAATATGATTCAGCTACTTAAAAACAGAATAAAATCTTGCCATTTTTGACAACATGGACGGACCTCGGGGACATTATGCTAAGTGAAATTAGTCGAAGATAAATACCATATGATCTCTTATGTGTGCGTCAACTGAAACAAAATCACACAATGTGAGAGTTGCGGGTTAAGTTTTACCTGGGGCAAAATGAGGACTACAGCCCGGGAGACAGCATCCCAGAAAGCTCTGAGAAACTGTTCCAAAGAAGCAGGGGGGAAACTCAGTACTATATATGATCTCAGTGAGGGGAGGTATGTGCAGTCAAGCACACACTTAGGCAGAGGCTGCTGCTAGTCACGAGGAGCAGATGTCACCATTGATAGTTTTAGTACTTTTCTAGATATGAGGAGACGCAAGATTTTGGATTCATAAAATCTTCTCCTGAAAATATCTATCTGAAGGCCTGTTCAGCCAGTTTTCCCAGAGCACAGAGCATCTCATTCCTGATCTCAGCCCTGAACTCATTTCAGGGTGTGCTGGAGATCAACAGCTACAGCGGCTCATGATTTAATCCAGCAGAGGTAGATGGCAAGTGCCAATTTTTAGCTGGCATGTGAAATCTAAAAAAAAAAAAAGGTGAAACAAAAAAAAAAACCCAAGCTGATAGATACAGAGAAGAGATTGGTGGTTGTAAGAGGTGGGAGTGGGAGGAATGGGTGAACTGTTTGTGTGTGTGTGTGTGTGTGTGTGTGTGTGTTTTAGTTTAAATAAACTGAATACAAATTTCTTAAGTCCAGGCCTATGGGACAGAGGCATCAGTGTTTTGAAATTCCTCAGTGACTCCAAAGTGTAGACAAATTTGGGAACCATTATGCTATAAGGAATTCTAAGGGTTGTGTTGCCCCTGAAATATTATTCATAAATTACTGAAATATTACTTGAAATAAGACTGACAGTGAGGGGAAGTAGATAGCAAATAATTGTCGTCCTCAGAAAAGAATAATAATTTTCCAGGCTCTCCCATGAGGCAAACCACTTTCCTTGGGGACTATTTCCAAATGGTTCCTCCTAGAAGCTGCCAGGTTTAGAAGAGGCTCAGTTTGATTTGTACCCATCCCTTCATTGTGCCCTCCTTTCTCCAAAGCCTGGCACACAGTAGAAAGTCAGTGAATGCCAAATGAATGAATGGCTGGGACTGTGATTTCACCAACCTGTTTTCTGAGGTCTGGAGAGTAGGGAGAAGCTATTAAAATGTATTTAAAGGAGGTCTTTGGGCCAGTTTAGAAGAGTTTAGCTTTGGAGCAATCAGATTGAAGATCTTTATCTTCCATCCTTAATGGATAAGTTAAAAAGCAGGACAATTTCAATGGTGTACAGGTACACAGAGTCCTACTGGTGTTGAATTACCAAAAGCCTCCTCATCCTTCCAGAGGCCCACCTCTTCACAATCCAGCAACGCCCTGGCTGTTAAACATTTTGAGCATCACCGCTGGGTAAGAATTCAGCTATGCATCAACAATGGGAAACAGAAGTGCCTACACCTGTGAGTGATGGAAGTCCTGGCAAACTGGAGCACACAGCCTCCTCCCCACGAGGCACCACTGCTCACCTCAGTTACAGCCCGGTTTGCCAGACCTTCCCGTTACTCAAAAAAAAAAAAAAAAAAAAAAAGCTGGAAATCCTAATATGATGTAAAATCTCCCACTTTAGAAACATCACCTCAAATTTAAAAAGAAAAAAAAAGCCCTATGTGGGCCACACAAAATACAAACGTAGACTTCATCTGGGCACCACTTCAATCTCTGCCATTGTTGCAGGGAGAACTCTTACAAAGGTTAGTCACAGGTATTGGAGAACAAAACAACAGAGGAGAAAACTGTTTTTGGTGTTATTGTATAAAAGTAAAGCCACTGCAATAAATTCTACAATTTTCTGGTTTCCAACTCAAATTCAACTTTACAGATTGTTCTCTTAACTTCCTTGAATTTATTCTTGGTCTCTTTTCTCTAACACTGCAAATCTTGGCTCCTAACAAGAGTTAGCATAATTACTTATTTTCTTTGTCCTATTTTGCATAAAATAGTTTCAAAATAATACTATGCACAATAACAAATACATCTACTAAATGAAGTTTAAGGTTTCTTGGCAGTTTTGTTTGTTCTTAGAACATATTCCACTGTAACCTACAGTCTGGGCTGTATATTTTACAAAAATTTTGTGGTAAACGCACCTACGTGGAAAGTGAAAAGCTTCCCCGGAACTGTTCTGATGTTGATAATGACAGTCCGCAAAACTGGGAAGCAAAATGCATTTCCCCAGGAGCCTTGAAAGGCAACTTTGCTATTTGTCCCCAGGGCAGAGAACAGCCCAATGAGGACTGGGACTGAGCTGTGGGGGTTACTTACTATCCTTGCTAAATTTCTCAAAAGAGACTCCTTTTCAAGGAGATCTGTAGCAGTCTGCCAACTTTCCCCTCTTCCTCTTGGAAAAAAAAAGGAAAATGTGGGTTTTCTGAAGCACAGGCCTGGAAGTAGACTTGGACGATCATGTGCGAAAACGCAGATGGGAGGAGAAGGAATTGGCTACTAGGAAGAGGGCAGCATGAGTGGGTGCAGGATCCCAGGGAAGCCATACCTTTAGGGGCAGTCAGAACCTCAAAGAGGTAGGGGAACCCGCGCCAGCAATCAGCCTAGAGCGGGAGAAGGTTCTTACAACGAACGGAAGAGCGCTTTGTTCACCAGGAGGTAGCTGCTCTTACCACCGCCCCCCATCGGGGAGGGTGAGTTCCCTAAGCCCAGAAGGGATCCGAATCCCTGAACTGGCATAGGCCACGTGCAGGGATGCTCAGCATTGAGCAAGGTGGCCTGACCTGGAGGGAGTCACTTGTGCAAGCAAGTTGGGCCCGGACTTGGGAGGAGAATGCTTCCCAGCGGGTGACTGAAACGCGTGGGGGTGTAGGGCGAAGGGTGACGCTCCGCTCCGCAAACGGTTAGGGCTTCCTGTGGAGGCCGCGCCTCCTGCCCTTCCAGTTTAGCCCCCCGGAGCTCACTTCGACTTCCCAGTTACCTCCACTTCCAC